CAGTCAGGAAATCGAACCCATGACCTCCGGAGAGCAGATTGTCGCTCTAAGCAATTAAACCACATTGTCTCCAGCAGCTGCCAACAACAATTCCGATTACTACAACAATGATATGAAGTGCTCAAAATATCATGTTCTACATCCCATTGCAGAAACATGCCTACAGCACCGATAAGGGGCATTTCTTGTTTTCTGTATTTGTCATATGAGCTCGTAGACGATACTTATAGAACCATAAGTTGTATTAGAGGACTACTCATTTGCCAGGCCAAAGTTGCCGCTCTAATTATGTACCAAGCTCTCTTAATTAACGACAAGAGTTGTCCATGAGACGCCGTGTAAAAAGAGAAATCATTTTAAAAAAATATACGAAACGCACTCGTTATCGGTGTTTATTATGGTAATTCAAAATTGCGAACGATATGTTATCATGTAACTTTTAATTGGTAGTAATTATACACAAATTATACCACGATATATATATGTAAGTGAATATCACAAAACACAAAATGTCACACCACAAACGTGCATTTTATACTTGTACCATCTATGTCAGTCTGTTTTCATCGACAGAATCTGCTTGATTTAAACACATTTTATTGGTATTAAATATACTGGTAGGATTGGGCACAGGTTTTTCCGACTTATATTAGGCCCTTTCCTATCAGTTTGACAAAATACATATTAACAAGACAAGACATGTTTAAATACAATTATAATGCGAAGAGAGAGAGAAAGAAAGAGAGAGAGAGAGAGAGGGGAGAGAGAGGGAAAAGAGAGAGAGGGAGAGAGAGAGAGAGAGAGAGAGTCTGAGAGAGGGAGAGTTAGAGAGAGAGGAGGAAAGAAAGAGAGAGAGAAAGAGAGAGAGAGAGAGAGAGAGAGAGAGAGAGAGAGAGAGAGAGAGAGAGAGAGAGAGAGAGAGAGAGAGAGAGAGAGAGAGAGAGAGAGAGGAGAGAGAGAGAGAGAGAGAGAGAGAGAGAGAGAGAGAGAGAGAGAGAGAGAGAGAGAGAGAGAGAGAGAGAGAGAGAGAGAGAGAGAGAGAGAGAGAGAGAGAGAGAGAGAGAGAGATTTTTTCACTGTGTACCTATATGGGACGGGGACAATGATCCTAAATAAATCCCAAAAAGGCAAGAAAGTGACAAAATACACAGTTGAGTTGGTGCTATTAAATTATTTTCACGTTCGCGTGGGAAAATGTGTCAACCTTATTTTGTCTTTTAAGAACGCGCCTAGTGGTGGGAGGAATACTGAAATACACGGATCAACAGCTACACGATTTTCAATACAGCTTAGTTGTTCTTGGTTTTTAGTAAGCAACTGTACATATTGTGCTTGACAATGATAAATATTTTTTTTGATTTAAATAGAGAAGATAAATATAATTTGAGTGAACTGCATATCTGCCTTAGAACATATTCAAATCGAAAGAGCACTTCAAAATAAAAACGCGTAAAAGTTATGAGTTATTTTTCAATAAATACAAACACGTTGGTTAATTTTGGTCTAACTTTCTTTTGAGACTACCATACTTGAGCCACTTCTGTCGGTCAGTGTAAACATGTACGTAAATGACTAAAGCTCACGTGAAAAAGATTTGGACACTGGTTCCAGGTCTATGAACTTGACAGGAAATGGTTCTCATCCGGAAGTTTGATGACCACGTAATCTAGATTGTACGCTGGTTTAACCTTTAATCACAATATCTAAACCGTATACAAAGTATTGTATATAAAGGGAAGCGAAGGATTTACTATGTCAATATACTTCACAATGTTCATAAAAAATAGCTTTCATCCGTCTGTTCTTTTTAAAATTTAAATACTTTTAAAAGTTTTCATATGTTAAGTTTTATATGAAGACGCGTCAAACAATATTGTAGATTTTCTCATTCATATTGTAAATATTGTGATATACGTTCTAAGTTTGGGGGTTTTCTTGTATGCTAAATCTTGATCTAGCACGAGGTTTAGAAAGAAAATCACAATATTGTTTCTTTGTTTATTGGTTTGTTTATTTGTTGTCATGTTAAAAACGCTTGGATCCTTTCAAAGAGGAGTGTTCTTGAAGTACTGTAACTGGTTGTTACTTCACTGAACAACATACAGGAGGCACATCACATGCCATCCTGAGCAATACTGGTAAAGTGTCCCAGAACACAAACACGACCGCATAGGCCGGTTCGTTTGTCAGCCCCTTGAGGAAACACAAAGCGCCAGGGGTAGGGTAGTTTAAACCATCCTAATCGAATCATCAGGGGACCATAGTCAACATCCTTCCGACTGGACTATCGTCTCCTCTACAATGAGTACTATCGTCATCCTTTTGTCTCTTACACTCCTTGTTTCTATAATTAATATGATACATTGATTCATTTACAACTTTTTTGGTCAAGAGCGTAAATGGAGGATTTTTTAAAATAATTTATCAAAATTTACACGTTTCTGTGATTTTCTTTAAATACTTAAACAAGGACACAGAAAAAGATTTCATTGACAATTTAAAAAAAAACCATAATTTTTTATTGGACCCTTGTGTTTAACAGGAGAATATATCTAGCCTTTGTATATTACGATCACTACAGAAAAGACAGGCATTTAGTAGCACGGTGCCTATAGCGAAACATATAGATTTTCCCAAGTCTAGGCGACAAAATACAATCCCAGTGCAGTTTAACAGTAAACCAAGCAAGCAGACATTATTTCTCAGATTAAAAAACTGGATGATATTACAATTTCACATCTTGTTTTGACGTACAGTCCCGTCAAAATTAGGGAATAACTAAACAATCTTTCGAATGATGTCGATAAGGACTTTTCTGCCTGTAATTTAATCCTATGTACACTCAAGTAGAAAAAAGTAAGACGAAGTGACAACAAGGTCGTAATAAGTGGTCGAATTGATCATATTCAAACCGAACAGTGGGCGATAAAAAGTATTTTTCCATGAAAGTCGTTTTCTTATTAAAATAAGGAAATATTTATGTTATGTATTTTAAAAAATGAAAAAGATACAAAAAATTATATAAGCAATGTTGCACGTAAGCATTAAACTAAGTATTACCACAATCATTATCGAAACAAAAGTTGTCTGCCCTTGGTATGAAGTTGTCTGCCCTTGGTATGAAGTTGTCTGCCCTTGGTATACATATACGTTATAACCCGAATTTTTCTTCGCTAAAATGAACACGGGAATATAACAGACAACGTCTACATTGATTGACAGCTCACTCTCGGCATTAAAGTCGACATTTCTCAGACAATTGTCTCGAGACTTCTTAAATTACAAAATGTGACGCGAAATTTTCTGGCAGAGAAAATAAATCTTATTCTGTTATGTAACATTACAACGCTCTAGAGTATAATCGGTAGGTATTTCAACGGAACGCGAAAAATTTATTTTGTCTGTGTAATTACAATTTTTAACCATTTTTTAAAGTGTTTATACTATCAGGTTGCCTTTAATGATATTTGGTATTTTTAAAATTTTTACAACTAGAACCAATCCACAGTCAGTAATGATGAAAAAAAATATCGCAGCCATAGAAACAAAGAGATGTATAGTTATTTAATTCTTCTTAACATTTAACTTAAATTTACGGTGGTTGATTTTTTTTCTTCTGCTTTTTACCGTTCGTTGTTTTGTCATTCGTCCTCTTAATTGATATAATTTCGTCCTTTCTCTCCGGCAGAGCAACGCTTATTCAAACCAGAATTGACCCGCGGCAATGTAACATCTTTTGAACAGCACCATTTGATAGTGATATAAAATATTGATATGAAATGCCTAACGTTTAAGATCGGTATGCTTATATAGAATCTTTATAAAAATAACAAGACATACACGCGTACGCGCGTGTTTGGAAATCACCCTTCAAGGAAAAGAACACAATCTCAACGCAAAACTGAATACCATCCTTGTTTTCTTCATTCTTAGATAACATATATCTTCCACCTTAAGAAGCAAAAAGTGGAGAGAAAAATGAATTACTGATTTCTTTCCTATATTCGTACATTTTAATTTTTTTACTCCACAATAGATGCAATTTCTTTAACATATGATTCAATTGTACCTATTTATCTACTGAAAAATATGTATACTTATATTCGTGTCAAATACCAGTCGGATTACACATACATTGTTCCACATAGAAATGATCTTGATATAAGTGTTTCGGTTTATTTACATTTGGATATAGATGGATTAGAGTATAATCCGAAAAATATACCATCTGGAGACTCAGAGAGATTTTTAAACAAGTGCTGTGGGGTTCATCCAAAGTAAACACCAGGGCAACCAAAACGTATGATTTATCATTATATAAAACATTATCAATTTTAACATAAAGATTTTTAAAACTTAATTTTCCTTTGGGAAAAAAAAAACAAAAAACAAAAAAAAAACAAAAAAAAAAACAAAAACAAAAAACAAAAACAAAAAACATTTTCATATCTACGTATGCAGTGGTATGGGCAATCTCGTTTATCTAACTTCTGTATTAATCCAATTGCGAGAATCTGTCCGATAAACAGATCAAACACAATGGTTTGTTCGATGGCATCTGCAGGGTTTTGTTATACCTCTGCTGTAAAATTACTGTATTGTTTTGTATTTTTGCGAGAGATTATATTCAAGAGCTAGATTTCTAAATAAAAAGCGGAAATAAATATTCCAGAGAGATCAACAGTATTGAAGTAAAAAACACCTTACTGTGATTTAAAACGTTTACGAACACACCCAATGTCATCGTTTGATTTTTTAACACGCAAAAATAGTAATTTGCATTTTATAATTACTAATCTTCGATAAAATTATACAGATAGTATTTTCGAATGCATGACGTAACATTTGACTATATAAATATTTGGATTGAAATTTTGAAAATATCGTGTTTGGCATATCTCTTAGCTGAATGAGTATATTTAATATAATAGAAAAAAAATCAATGAAACAAAACAGTGTTTTCTAGAAGGAGTTGTTGATAAAAAAAATAAGCCACTTACCTCAGTATTGGCGAAGAATGTTGTCTTGACAACACGTATCGTGGCTGAATGTTTTGCCTTTTCTAGAACACTGTGTTTTTGTAAACAATATCGTTCTGTCGCGTTCTGATCGGAGAATACTTTTGCAATAAAGACACGCGAGAGAATTTTGCATTTGCACACTTTGAAACTTTTAATCCAAAAATAGCACAGAGCGGTTTGTTTACATATAGAGTAAGGCGATTTTGAAAATGAATTCGGGTTTATAAGTAGCATCGAGCGTTTTGTTCCAAAGGTTATATTCTGAAGTATGTAAGCGTTAGTGAAAATCGCCCACTTCCGTCACTAATGAGTTTCCGGTACTACTGGATGTGAGCCGTTTTTGGAGTCTCTGGTTGAATGGCCAGTACGAGACTCAAAGGGTCACATATTCGCAAGGATACCTACAGAATATCAAGCATGATCTCCTTCAAATAAGGGTTATATCACTTCGTTGTTGTGAATTTTGGAGCACTGTTCAATCTCTGACATTTCCTAGGTTCAAGTTGTACATTGTACCGTTTAGAAGAGAGAGGATCTCAACTCAAGACAAAACCTTCATTGTATTCCTGTGGGCTCCCACTTGATGCATTGTTCCTGTTTCCAAATTTCCATTATCACATCGGAGACGATTTTTATATGGACATTTTATATCAAAAAGCGGAAAAAAGTGCGAAACTGTTGGGTTCAATAGAAACCCTAGCTCTACAAAATAGAGAACTGTAGTTTGGATATATCCCATGTGAAATCATAGTGCAAGTCTTTTGTAGAATGGTTTGACGACTCTCCTTTTCTACCACTTCGTGCAAAAAACTCATTCCTGGAAACGTTTTCCAGCGTATCACGTGACCAAGCAATTGCCACTTGCTACATGATCACTCGATGCCAGGATAAATGTGTTTACAAGGAGTATCTGCTCTCAGGGAAAAAAGGATTTAATGATAGATTGCTTCAGAGTGTCAAATCAATATCTTTTATTTGCAATTTGCACTTCATCAAAACTAGCGTATAGGGAGAATTTTACCGATTTTTACCGATCCAGTTCTTCATAAGGAAACACATTCACTGGTAATTATTTCAAGTATCAATTTGCTATTGTGAGCCTAATATTGTCCCTGATATTCTGTGTTAAAATATCAATTACCGCGAGTGAACCCTGATATCATACAAATCATCACTTTATTTTATTTCATTTTCATTTTTTTTAAATTCCTCATTAAAATCTGAAGCCTTTGCTCAGTAAATTGTGTTTGACAATATTCGGATAATTTATTGTGAAGAAACAGTGTCTAATTAATAATCAAAGTGTACTGTTATTTTCCTTTCTCGCCCGCGGATAAAGAGTAATTGAGTCAAGATGAAACTGGAAATGATAATGATGATGACGGTTGCCTTCGGAGAAATTCTCTGTAAGTATTAGAATAATCAATCCTCACGATTTTTAATTGACATTTCACTTCTTGCATTCCGGTATGTTGGTTTCTTTCGTTTTTTTATGGGTTTAGTATTTTTCTGTCTCACAATTGTAGCTGTGGTGACTCACTGTTGTAGGGGTACTTACAAATCTGGCTGTCACTAGGGGTTGTAGCTATACTATTGTAGTTGTCACTGGGTATAATAGCTGCACCAACTATCATAGTTGTCACTAGGTGTAATAGCTGTTGCACTAACTATCATAGTTGTCACTGGGTGTGATAGCTGCTGCACCAACTATCATAGTTGTCACTGGGTGTAATAGCTGCTGCACCAACTATCATAGTTGTCACTGGGTGTAATAGCTGCACCAACTCTCATAGTTGTCACTGAGTGTTAAAATTGCTGCACCAACTATCATAGTTGTGACAGGGTATAATAGCTGTTGCACTAACTATCATAATTGTCACTGGGTGTAATAGCTGCTGCACCAACTATCATAGTTGTCACTGGGTGTAATAGCTGCACCAACTCTTATAGTTGTCACTGAGTGTTAAAACTGCTGCACCAACTATCATAGTTGTCACTGGGTGTAATAGCTGCTGCACCAACTATCATAGTTGTCACTGGGTGTAATACTTGCTGCACCAACTATCATAGTTGTCACTAGGTGTAAAAACAGCTGCACCAACTATCATAGTTGTCACTGGGTGTAATACTTGCTGCACCAACTATCATAGCTGTCACTGAGTGTAAAAACAGCTACACCAACTATCATAGTTTTCATTAGGTGTAAAAACTGCTGCACCAACTATCATAGTTGTCACTGGGTGTAATACTTGCTGCACCAACTATCATAGCTGTCACTGAGTGTAAAAACAGCTGCACCAACTATCATAGTTGTCACTGGGTGAAATAGCTGCACTAACTATCATAGTTGTCACTGGGTGTGATAGCTGCTGCACCAACTATCATAGTTGTCACTGGGTGTAATAGCTGCTGCACCAACTATCATAGTTGTCACTGGGTGTAATAGCTGCACCAACTCTCATAGTTGTCACTGAGTGTTAAAATTGCTGCACCAACTATCATAGTTGTGACAGGGTATAATAGCTGTTGCACTAACTATCATAATTGTCACTGGGTGTAATAGCTGCTGCACCAACTATCATAGTTGTCACTGGGTGTAATAGCTGCACCAACTCTTATAGTTGTCACTGAGTGTTAAAACTGCTGCACCAACTATCATAGTTGTCACTGGGTGTAATAGCTGCTGCACCAACTATCATAGTTGTCACTGGGTGTAATACTTGCTGCACCAACTATCATAGTTGTCACTAGGTGTAAAAACAGCTGCACCAACTATCATAGTTGTCACTGGGTGTAATACTTGCTGCACCAACTATCATAGCTGTCACTGAGTGTAAAAACAGCTACACCAACTATCATAGTTTTCATTAGGTGTAAAAACTGCTGCACCAACTATCATAGTTGTCACTGGGTGTAATACTTGCTGCACCAACTATCATAGCTGTCACTGAGTGTAAAAACAGCTGCACCAACTATCATAGTTGTCACTGGGTGAAATAGCTGCACAAACTATCATAGTTGTCACTGGATGAAATAGCTGCTGCACCAACTATCCTAGAGTACATATGTGAAACTGTGTCACAGCTACAGTACAATGTTGGGTACGGATGTGACACTGTGTCACAGCTACAGTACAATGTTGAGTACAGATGTGATACTGTGTCACAGCTAAAGTACAATGTTGTGTAGAGATGTGAAACTGTGTCACAGCTATAAGTACAATGTTACAGTATAACACTGAATGTGAAACTGTGATCACAGCTACAATAGTGATACAGCTATAACACTGAATCACAACTACAATAGTGATACAGCTATAACATGATTGTGTACATACTCTCTCACAACTACAATAGTGATACAGCTATAACACTGAATCACAACTACAATAGTGATACAGCTATAACACTGAATCACAACTACAATAGTGATACAGCTATAACACTGAATCACAACTACAATAGTGATACAGCTATAACACTGAATCACAACTACAATAGTGATACAGCTATAACACTGAATCACAACTACAATAGTGATACAGCTATAACACTGAATCACAACTACAATAGTGATACAGCTATAACACTGAATCACAACTACAATAGTGATACAGCTATAACACTGAATCACAACTACAATAGTGATACAGCTATAACACTGAATCACAACTACAATAGTGATACAGCTACAACACTGAATCATACCTACAATAGTGATACAGATATAACACTGAATCACAACTACAATAGTGATACAGCTATAACACTGAATCACAACTACAATAGTGATACAGCTATAACACTGAATCACAACTACAATAGTGATACAGCTATAACACTGAATCACAACTACAATAGTGATACAGCTATAACACTGAATCATACCTACGATAGTGATACAGCTATAACACTGAATCATACCTACGATAGTGATACAGCTATAACACTGGATCACAACTACAATAGTGATACAGCTATAACACTGAATCACAACTACAATAGTGATACAGCTATAACACTGAATCACAACTACAATAGTGATACAGCTATAACACTGAATCACAACTACAATAGTGATACAGCTATAACACTGAATCACAACTACAATAGTGATACAGCTATAACACTGAATCACAACTACAATAGTGATACAGCTATAACACTGAATCACAACTACAATAGTGATACAGCTATAACACTGAATCACAACAACAATAGTGATACAGCTATAACACTGAATCACAACTACAATAGTGATACAGCTATAACACTGAATCACAACTACAATAGTGATACAGCTATAACACTGAATCACAACTACAATAGTGATACAGCTATAACACTGAATCACAACTACAATAGTGATACAGCTATAACACTGAATCACAACTACAATAGTGATACAGCTATAACACTGAATCACAACTACAATAGTGATACAGCTATAACACTGAATCACAACTACAATAGTGATACAGCTATAACTACAATAGTGATACAGCTATAACACTGAATCACAACTACAATAGTGATACAGCTATAACACTGAATCACTATGATACAGCTATAACACTGAATCACAACTACAATAGTGATACAGCTATAACACTGAATCACAACTACAATAGTGATACAGCTATAACACTGAATCACAACTACAATAGTGATACAGCTATAACACTGAATTACAACTACAATAGTGATACAGCTATAACACTGAATCACAACTACAATAGTGATACAGCTATAACACTGAATCACAACTACAATAGTGATACAGCTATAACACTGAATAAAACAACTACAATAGTGATACAGCTATAACACTGAATCACAACTACAATAGTGATACAGCTATAACACTGAATCACAACTACAATAGTGATACAGCTATAACACTGAATCACAACTACAATAGTGATACAGCTATAACACTGAATCACAACTACAATAGTGATACAGCTATAACACTGAATCACAACTACAATAGTGACACAACAACACTGAATCACCACTAAAATAGTGATACAGCTATAACACTGAATCACAACTACAATAGTGATACAGCTATAACACTGAATCACAACTACAATAGTGATACAGCTATAACACTGAATACAATAGTGATACACAACTGACAATAGTGATACAGCTATAACACTGAATCACAACTACAATAGTGATACAGCTATAACACTGAATCACAACTACAATAGTGATACAGCTATAACACTGAATCACAACTACAATAGTGATACAGCACTATAACACTGAATCAACAACAACTACAATAGTGATACAGCTATAACACTGAATCACAACTACAATAGTGATACAGCTATAACACTGAATCACAACTACAATAGTGATACAGCTATAACACTGAATCACAACTACAATAGTGATACAACAACAACTGAATCACAACTACAATAGTGATACAACAACACTGAATCACAACTACAATAGTGATACAGCTATAACACTGAATCACAACTACAATAGTGATACAGCTATAACACTGAATCACAACTACAATAGTGATACAGCTATAACACTGAATCACAACTACAATAGTGATACAGCTATAACACTGAATCACAACTACAATAGTGATACAGCTATAACACTGAATCACAACTACAATAGTGATACAGCTATAACACTGAATCACAACTACAATAGTGATACAGCTATAACACTGAATCACAACTACAATAGTGATACAGCTATAACACTGAATCACAACTACAATAGTGATACAGCTATAACACTGAATCACAACTACAATAGTGATACAGCTATAACAACTACAATAGAATCACACACTACAATAGTGATACAGCTATAACACTGAATCACAACAATATAACACTGTACAGCTATAACACTGAATAGTGATACAGCTATAACACTGAATCACAACTACAATAGTGATACAGCTATAACACTGAATCACAACTACAATAGTGATACAGCTATAACACTGAATCACAACTACACTGAATAGTGATACAGCTATAACACTGAATCACAACTACAATAGTGATACAGCTATAACACTGAATCACAACTACAATAGTGATACAGCTATAACACTGAATCACAACTACAATAGTGATACAGCTATAACACTGAATCACAACTACAATAGTGATACAACTATAACACTGGATCACAACTACAATAGTGATACAGCTATAACACTGAATCACAACTACAATAGTGATACAGCTATAACACTGAATCTCAACTACAATAGTGATACAGCTATAACAATGAATCTCAACTACAATAGTGATACAACAACACTGAATCATAACTACAATATTGATACAGCTATATTACTGGACTACAATTTGATTGACTTTTGAAAATATTTTATGTTTTATATTGTAACACTAAATGTCAATTTTAAATAGTGAGTACAGTAACAATACCGAGCAGTATGTTTAATAGAGAGTACAACTACAGCAAGGAGTGGTAACTACAGTAGTGATTACAGCTACAACTGTAATAACTACTGTAGCTGTGACACAGTTTCACATCTTTACATAATACTCAATATTGTACTGTAACTGTGACACAGTGTCACTTCTATACCCAACATTGTACTGTAACTGTGACACATTGTCACTTCTATACTCAACATTGTACTGTAGATGTGACACAGTGTCACATCTGTACTCAATGGTGTACTGTAGCTGTGCCATAGTGTCACATCTGTACCCAACATTGTATTGTAGCTGTGACAGTGTCACATCTGTACCCAACATTGTATTGTAGCTGTGACAGTGTCACATCTGTACTCAACATTGTACTGTAGCTGTGACACAGTTTCACATCGGTACTTAACATTGTACTGTAGCTGTGACACAGTTTCACATCGGTACTTAACATTGTACTGTAGCTGTGACAGTGTCACATCGGTACTTAACATTGTAATATGGCCATGATACTGGTATAGTTAAACACATTTTTTTGTATTTGTTTGTCAGTGTTCATTGTTGTTAGGTGTGTCTGTTATTTTGCTGGTATAAGTTGTGACTTAGTATGACCAATTTCCGACCATCATTTCTCCTTATTTCTGGTCACTAATGTTTTGTATTACATTGTGTTTCATCTCGACTTTAAAATCATAAATTTCATTTAAGCTATTTGTTTCCAGTTGTGCTGTCACAGGAATGTCCACCGTTCGGGAAAATGAAATTTCGTAAAGTGAAATATCGCAGTAATCTTCAAATTGCGAGATTTCGGTGCAGACGAAAGTCTCAACTTCTTGGTGCCAAGCTTTTAATCTGCTTAAGTGGAAAATGGAACCACCCAGCGCCAGTGTGCATAGGTATATGTATAAGTGTATATAATCCCTCTCTCTACACCAAATATATACATATATCGGTATATTGTGCTTACTCAATAATGACGGAAAGCTGTACATTTGTCGAGGTGGTAGGCCGAAAGGTTCTGACAATCCGCGATTTGATTTTTGTCTTGTTCGCGGTTGATTGTCAGAAATGTTTCCTGTATAAAAACACATATACTCAGCTTTTTTGCAAAAACCTACCATTTCCGTCAATTTCTTGAGAGTTTACATCAACCACTCCACAGATATTCCGTATGGTGTCGGCCATTGAAATTTGCCGTTGTCAAGGAGAATGGGTGGAAATACAACTTATAAATGCAGCTTGTAGCAGAATTGTTTTATCTTTGCATCAATGCATGATTTGTAACTATTACTATATAAAACATTTCCTGAACACCGATCCATGCAAAATATGTCGCTTAAATCCCGTTTTTTTTTTTTTTTTTAATTGTGAGGAATTCTAATTATTGACCGCGGCCTAGACAAAAATAAAATCGCAGATAGATAGTCAGAACTCTTCGGACTATTCAGTTAAACAAGAAAACACAATATTAACCGAACAGAAATCTCTCTTTCAAGGTTTGCGTTTGTTTACTACCATTAATAACATTTCCCAATCGAACCCTATTTTTTCCGTCTAAGATTTCAATTTTGCTTCAAGAAATGCCTTGCTATTTAATACTGGCCAAGACATAAGCTGATTATCACACTAATAAAAGGTTATGACCAACAATCAAATTGGTAATAATTTAGTACATATTGTTGTATATAAAATACCACGGTATCTATATCCGGTGTCTATAATTATATTGTTTGCATAGAGTCACAGATATTACTGATTAATGGGACTTAATGTCCGAGTTCCAGTTATAAACGAACTTGAGACATTTCAACGCTCAAGATAGATTAAGTGTGAATTTATGTAGTAGGAAATTTTCCTTCATAGGAAACCAACTAGACTTTAAGCTGTCGTTTGTCTCTTAATCTTAAGAACTGGGAGTATATGTATATTTGCACACTTAAACCAATTTCACCATCAAGACGCTCATTGTATCTTTATATTTTATATATATATACTTTATATATCTGTATATATTTGCAGAAATATAATCACTCTGTAAAACGATTGATATTACTTTCTGGTAATACTGGTTTTGATAAGACTCAGACCATCAGCATTCTAGAAACTCCAGGGGATACGATCGCTTCCGTTCTATGCACTCCTGGAACATTTCATGGAAAAATTGGAAGCACAAGCGAAGTTATTTTATTGGTTCCGAGAAAAAGCAAAAATGACCAATCACATTCTGATACGTTCCTTTTTGAAGATTACAAAGGAGCGACATCCAACTCCAAAGCCATAACAACATGTTACGCGACCTCGGGATCCGTTTGATGTACATCAAAGAGTCAAACCAGTCATTTCGTCTTCTCAACAAGGTCCCAAATAGAACATTCAATTTTGCTATGACACGTTCCGTGGGTACAGAGAGCGAAAGTGATTGTGACCCTTGGAGTATCGAGGACGGACCATCAGTAATTCAATGGTATTGATAAAGGGAGAAAACTTTAAATGTTGGACATGATCAATTAGATTCCATACAATACTGACTATTTCAAACGCAAAGAAGAGGTAGTATTAACAAAATGGCAACGAATGGATGTGCTGATTGGAATTTAATAGCGCGTGTTTCAACAAGTAAACCTTGTATAATGTCCCCGCGTGGCCAGATCATTTAAGTAAGTCCAGATATACATGGATATGTTGTAGAATCGCTCAGGTCATGAACAAACAAAAAGCGGATGATTTCATAAGTAAATACAATTTGATGCAGATACAGATAATTACTAATCAAAGTCTTTTTTTACATTTCATTGGAACACCGGCCACCATATACACATCGTTATAACAATTACATATTCAAATGATTAATTGTACTGGAAGCAGTAGGTGGCGCCACTCGCGCGTCATTGACAACGCGAACAACAAAACGAGAAAATGATTAAATTTGAGAAAAATAAATGCAAATACACATATCATGTATCATTATTTAAAGTCTCTTCAAATTCAATCAAATTTCATATAAAACCAAAAGCAAATAAGTTTCGTGCAACAAAATCGATGATTTTCAATTTGAAAATGATCTAAAATGGACTTTTAAGTCCATTGTAGCTTTTTTTAAATGTGTCTTACTCTTTTATCTTATCATGTATTACAAGTAATATCCGTTGCTCAAAAATTGTATATAATCCAAGAAAATAATCGACTTTATAATTTTCCTTGATTGCTGTTTAAAAAAAAAATGTTTCCAAATATATTTGTTTTCTTAAAATATAGATAACTTTCATTTTGATATTAAGTTTGTTAGTAGGCATAACATTGCCTGGTCTGAAATTGCTCTGCAAGGAAATGAAAAAAAAAAACAATATTCAGTTATACGTCCCAAAAGAACAATATATATGCAAATGATACCATCCTAGACAGCAGGTGTTTATTTCACATATAACCTTTTTGATTTGGGAAGTGTGTTTTGTGGACCAATACCATAGTTAGTTTCAATGTATCGAGTACGTCATATAACAAAACATTGTCTGAAAAAAAATATATATAAGATGAGAGAAAAAAGATTCCACGCACTAAATGTCCATTGAATATTTAAACCCTCGATAACGATTCTCTGTCAGAAAATAAGCATTGTTTTATAGCTCCTGGATGTGAAATACCAGACTCTACGGCAAATCTGATAATGACGACATCAAGAAGGGACGCACTGCTGACACTAGAATGTCAGCCTGGCTACACATTACAGGGGCCTAAAACCATTTACTGTGACAAGGTAAAATGGAGTGCTCCTATTTCTACGTGTAAATGTGAGTAAGCATAAAATTTGTTTTTTCTAAGTTTTAGTCTCTATTTACTTTCCACCATATGTATAAATGTTCTATAAATATAGGTCAGCATTGCCGAAAACAATTGTAAATGTGTGCAATCAGACGATAAACGGTACCATGGTCATGAAACTGCTTTATCCATCAACACAATAAAAAATTCGAATGCATGAAAATGTGAGAGGACCGAACTAACATCTAAAAGAATTTAATTGTAAACATTGTGAGTTGAAATTGAATTTTTTAAATGGCCATTAAACACGTGCGTGACATGCTTTAAGTAATCTTGAATTGATTTACAGATAACGAGCCAGACTTGCTGTGTACGTTTGAGAGTACTGATCTTTGTGGTTGGAATCAACGAGATCACTCCGACTGGACAGTAAGAAGCGGCGGAACCCCTACAAGTAGAACAGGGCCTGACAACGACCACACGTTTGGTTCTGTCGGTGGCGGTAAGTAACGGAGAATCTCAATGTAATATGCGGACAGACATGGCACGTTACGTACGGAAAGACATGGTTAATCAATATTACGTTACATACGGACAGACAGGGACAACATATTAGGATCGGAGAAATGCCGTCCTTCTGTTTCAATTCGAAGGCAGTATAAACTGAGGCGAACAATGCGGACTGGGGACGCGTAAGGAGCATTTTTTTCTGTATTTTCCACTCACAATACTTTTCTTCAGCTGATATTGAAGACTGGCTACCAACCCCAGGGTTTGGGTTAAGAATTGACCAGCAAGATAAAATTCCTCACGGATTGCACAAAATACATTTATTATCGAGTGAATAGTACATTTCAAATCAAAGAATCTCTTTCAGGAACAATACAATTTTGCCCACGCACCTAGTTTTAATAAAAGTGGGTGGCATTTGTAACACCTTTGTGACTACCCAGGAAATAGGATTTAAAAAATCAAAAAGGTTCATTAGGCCTGTGCCCTACGACTCATTTAGTATCGTAACCACAAGAGTATGACAAGGTTCATTTTCCATCTAAAAAAATATTAAAACCACAGCGTACATTACCAAATTATATACTGTACGATTAACAAGTTTGACAATATGGTGGTAAACATGTATCAAAATATTGAAAAATATAATACAGTTTCAAAATTGAAAAAAGTATGAATCGATAAAAGTGCCATTCAAAACCCAAAATTAGTATTTCAATTCTTATCAATTTTGTTGGGGTTTGACAGGGGTCAATATTTCTTCCAAAATCTGTTAAAACAATGGTGTACATAGTCGTTGGATGTCAGTTTTGAACAGGACTATTCTGATGCATGACCCATGTCAAAAATAAATATAAATAGTTTTAATCAATAAAAACATAACAATCTCGAATTAGAAAAATGACATTTTCGCAACAGTTTCTCGGATAGGAAAAGTTTTTTTATTACAATGATACTACTGAGCTAAAATGTTTAAACCAATGAAGCAACCTAGGGTCTAGAAAAATGTCAAATCTTTTGGAACATTTTAGATGTTTACCATCTCGTCACACGATTTTAGACCTTGGTTTACATAGGATTTTAGTACTGCCGAAAAAATTAGTTGATCCCTTACCGCCCTTCACCCTATCACAGCAAAGCCGAAAAATTAGTCGATCCCTTACCGCCTCTTCACCCTATCACAGCAAAGCCGAAAAAATTAGTCGATCCCTTACCGCCTCTTCACCCTATCATAGCAAAGCCGAAAAAATTAGTCGATCCCTTACCGCCTCTTCACCCTATCATAGCAAAGCCGAAAAAATTAGTCGATCCCTTACCTTCTCGTCACACTATTATAGTACAGCCGAAAAAGTGGTTCGATTCCTTACCATCTTATCACACTATTATAGTATAGCCGAAAAAGTTGGTCGATCCCTTACCATCTTATCACACTATTATAGTATAGCCGAAAAAGTGGTTCGATTCCTTACCATCTTATCACACTATTATAGTATAGCCGAAAAAGTGGTTCTATTCCTTACCATCTCGTCACACTATTATAGTATAGCCGAAAAAGTGGTCGATTCCTTACCATCTCGTCACTCTATTATAGTACAGCCGAAAAAGTTGGTCGATTCCTTACCATCTCGTCACACTATTATAGTATAGCCGAAAAAGTTGGTCGATTCCTTACCATCTTATCACACTATTATAGTATAGCCATGGTTCGATTCCTCACTTATCTATTATAGTACAGCCGAAAAAGTTGGTCGATTCCTTACCATCTCGTCACACTATTATAGTATAGCCGAAAAAGTTGGTCGATTCCTTACCATCTTATCACACTATTATAGTATAGCCGAAAAAGTTGGTCGATTCCTTACCATCTCGTCACAACGTACGTCAGTGATAGTACTCTTCTCAATGATCATTTGTCTGATGAAGATGACCGTGTAATCATCGAAACGTCACATCCAGATTTTCTACTGGTCGTTTTTCAAGAAAACTTGTTTATCTCAAAATGTAGCAGAAAAAGGGTATATAATATATAAATTTCATAATTTATATGGAAATGTACATAAAATATATAATTCATTATTTATATGGAGAGGTACATAATATATAAATTTGATAATTCATATGGACAGGTACATAACTATATAAATTTCATAATTCATATGGAGCGGTACATAATATATAAATTTCATAATTCATATGGAGAGGTACATAATATATAAATTTCATAATTCATATGGAGCGGTACAAAACTAAATAAATTTCATAATTTATATCATAAAGGATGATTTCAAAGAGCAGAAAGCACGTTGGGATATGATGGACCGTGCCACCATTAAAAGAAATTACAACTACAATAACGTACTGTCAGAAGATTAAGTCTGGTTTCTTTTTGGTAAAATTTTTTTTAGAAATTATCTAGTTACATTCTTGAAACATTTGCTAACTTCAGTCCTATTAACCACAATAAACGTTAAAAAAATAATTGCTAATATGCGAAGATATTCTATGTTACACAACTACGGTAAATTCTCAATAGCCCGGACACCTCTGGTCCTAGCTTAAATCGTCCGGTTTACGCGTTTTCATTTTCAGGCGGTCACACAGAGTTACTTTCCTTTATACTATACTAATAGACAAGTTTTGATTAATGGTGTTGAGATCACAATAATTTTGTAACTGTATACCCCTTTTTAACATTACCTAAATTTACAACAATACATAAAATATTAATACTACACATGGCTATTTTAAATTAAATCTGAATTTTTAAAAACGTTTCTAAGGCTAATGCCTTGATAGTTATGTATATATAACATGGAATTATTCTACAATTTCTACAATAAATGGTTAGGTGATATTTGTTTTCGGATTTGTTGCTAAAATGGGGCCAAATGACCGTTATGCACCTATCTCTTTTCTCTGTACATTGGTGATGTCATTACATGTTTTGATAGGGGAGTTATTTTTTTTTTTATTATTTTAGGTCATTATCTGTACATGGAATCTTCACCACCACGTAAGGAAGGACACACTGCTACAATATCTTCACGGTTTTATAGACACCTTCAGAATGGAACATGCTTCGAGTTTTATTACCATATGAAGGGCCTACCCGGTCCAAACGGTAAGCTGTCTGACTTCTTCTTGTGAAAATCAGGCAATCTTTCATTTGAAAGGGAAGTAACTTCTTAATAAGTGTTTTGCTGTTACATGTACACCATTCTGAATTTAACAACATGCTTCTAATACATTTTGTTCTTAATTTTTTCCCTGGCCCGCTTGGGTAAGGTTGTAATTTTCAATAAACTTATTTTAGAAAAAATGTACAGTTTTATCTTAATAAAACGGCCATCAGTAACGTGACACATGAATGTCATATTTCACATAACATGTCGGTCCAGATACTCCTATATGTCTCATTAACTGTCAATCATGGTAATCACTTCATCAAGTGTCGGTCCAGATACTCCATAATTTGATTATTACCACCTGTCGGTCCAGATACTCTATAATTTGAATATAAACACGTGTCGGTCCAGATACTCTGTAATTTGAATATCACCACCTGTCGGTCCAGATACTCTGTAATTTGAATATTACCACGTGTCGGTCCAGATACTCTATAATTTGAATATTACCACGTGTCGGTCCAGATACTCTATCATTTGAATATTACCACCTGTCGATCCAGATAATCTATGATTTGAATATAAACACCTGTCGATCCAGATAATCTATTATTTGAATATAAACACCTGTCGGTCCAGATACTCTGTAATTTGAATATTACCACGTGTCGGTCCAGATACTCTATAATTTGAATATAAACACCTGTCGGTCCAGATACTCTATAATTTGTATATAAACACCTGTCGATCCAGATAATCTATTATTTGAATATAAACACCTGTTGGTCCAGATACTCTGTAATTTGAATATTACCACGTGTCGGTCCAGATACTCTATCATTTGAATATTACCACGTGTCGGATCAGATACTCTGTAATTTGAATATAAACACCTGTCGGTCCAGATACTCTATCATTTGAATATTACCACGTGTCGGTCAAGATACTCTATCATTTGAATATTACCACGTGTCGGATCAGATACTCTGTAATTTGAATATAAACACCTGTCGGTCCAGATACTCTATAATTTGAATATTACCACGTGTCGGTCCAGATACTCTATAATTTGAATATTACCACCTGTCGGATCAGATACTCTGTAATTTGAATATTACCACCTGTCGGATCAAACACTCTGTAATTTGAATATTACCACGTGTCGGTCCAGATACTCTATAATTTGAATATTACCACGTGTCGGTCCAGATACTCTATCATTTGAATATTACCACCTGTCGGATCAGACACTCTGTAATTTGAATATTACCACCTGTCGGTCAAGATACTCTATAATTTGAATATTAACACCTGTCGGTCCAGATACTCTACAATTTGAATATTACCACGTGACGGTCCAGATACTCTATAATTTGAATATTACCACGTGTCGGCCCAGATACTCTATAATTTGAATATTACCACCCGTCGATCCAGATACTCTATAATTTGAATATAACCACGTGTCGATCAAGATACTCTATGATTTGAATATGAACACCTGTCGATCCAGATACTGAATAATTTGAATATTTCCACCTGTCGGATCAGATACTCTGTAATTTGAATATTACCACCTGTCGATCCAGATACTGAATAATTTGAATATTTCCACCTGTCGATCCAGATACTCTATAATTTGAATATTTCCACCTGTCGATCCAGATACTGAATAATTTGAATATTACCACGTGTCGGTCCAGATAATCTATTATATGAATATAAACACCTGTCGGTCCAGATACTCTATAATTTGAATATTACCACGTGTCAGTCCAGATACTCTATAATTTGTATATAAACACCTGTCGATCCAGATAATCTATTATTTGAATATAAACACCTGTCGATCCAGATAATCTATTATTTGAATATAAACACCTGTCGGTCCAGATACTCTGTAATTTGAATATTACCACGTGTCGGTCCAGATACTCTGATATTTGAATATTACCACGTGTCGGAATTTGAATATAAACACCTGTCGGTCCAGATACTCTATAATTTGTATATAAACACCTGTCGATCCAGATACTCTATAATTTGAATATAAACACCTGTCGGTCCAGATACTCTGTAATTTGAATATTACCACCTGTCGATCCTGTTTTTGAATATTTTTATTTTACCACGTGTCGGTCCAGATACTCTATAATTTGAATATTACCACCTGTCGGATCAGATACTCTATAATTTGAATATAAACACCTGTCGGTCCAGATACTCTATCATTTGAATATTACCACCTGTCGGTCCAGAAACTCGATAATTTGAATATTACCACCTGTCGGTCCAGATACTCTGTAATTTGAATATTACCACGTGTCGGTCCAGATACTCTGTAATTTGAATATTACCACGTGTCGGTCCAGATACTCTATAATTTGAATATAAACACCTGTCGGTCCAGATACTCTGTAATTGGATTATTACCACGTGTCGGTCCAGATACTCTATAATTTGAATATTACCACCTGTCGGATCAGATACTCTATAATTTGAATATTACTACCTGTCGGTCCAGATACTCTATAATTTGAATATTACCACGTGTCGGTCCAGATACTCTGGAATTTGAATATTACCACGTGTCGGTCCAGATACTCTACAATTTGAATATTACCACGTGTCGGTCCAGATACTCTATAATTTGAATATTACCACGTGTCGGATCAGACACTCTGTAATTTGAATATTACCACCTGTCGGATCAGACACTCTATAATTTGAATATAACCACGTGTCGATCCAGATACTCTATAATTTGAATATAAACACCTGTCGATCCAGATAATCTATGATTTGAATATAAACACCTGTCGATCCAGATAATCTATGATTTGAATATAAACACGTGTCGGTCCAGATACTCTGTAATTTGAATATTACCACCTGTCGGTCCAGATACTCTATAATTTGAATATTACCACGTGTCAGTCCAGATACTCTATCATTTGAATATTACCACTTGTCGGTCCAGATACTCGATAATTTGAATATTACCACGTGTCGGTCCAGATACTCTATAATTTGAATACTACCACGTGTCAGTCCGGACACTCCATAATTTGAATATTACCACCTGTCGATCCAGATACTCTATAATTTGAATATTACCACCTGTCGATCCAGATACTCTATAATTTGAATATTACCACGTGTCGGTCCAGATGCTCTATAATTTGAATATTACCACGTGTCGGTCCAGATACTCTATAATTTGAATATTACCACGTGTCGGTCCAGATACTCTATAATTTGAATATTACCACGTGTCGGTCCAGATACTCTATAATTTGAATATATCCACGTGTCAGTCCGGACACTCTATAATTTGAATATTACCACGTGTCGGTCCAGATACTCTATAATTTGAATATTACCACGTGTCGGTCCAGATACTCTATAATTTGAATATATCCACGTGTCAGTCCGGACACTCCATAATTTGAATATTACCACATGTCGATCCAGATACTCTATAATTTGAATATTACCACGTGACGGTCCAGATACTCTATAATTTGAATATTACCACCTGTCGGTCCAGATACTTTATAATTTGAATATTACCACCTGTCGGTCCAGATATTCTATAATTTGAATATTACCACCTGTCGGTCCAGATACTTTATAATTTGAATATTACCACGTGTCGGTCCAGATACTCTATAATTTGAATATGAACACCTGTCGGATCAGATACTCTATAATTTGAATATTACCACCTGTCGGTCCAGATATTCTATAATTTGAATATGAACACCTGTCGGTTCAGATGATTTATAATTTGAATATTAACACGTGTCATTCGTGATACTCTATAATTTGAATATTACCACGTGTCGGTCCAGATACTCTATGATTTGAATATAAACACCTGTCGATCCATATACTCTTTAATTTGAATAGTACCACCTGTCGATCGAGATACTCTATAATTTGAATATAAACACCTGTCGATCCAGATACTCCATAATTTGAATATTACCACCTGTCGATCCAGATACTCTATAATTAGAATATTACCACCTGTCGGTCCGGACACTCTGTAATTGAATATTACCACGTGTTTATCCGGATACTCCGTTATGTCACTGTCAAAAGGTGTCGGTCCGGCCACAGCTTGATATGACTTAATGCGTGTCTGTACCGAAAATTTTTATAATGAGAAAGTTATCATGTGTATTTACGATCTTTCAATGCTATTTTGCTAGAGGTTGGTAGATTGCTGGTGTACGTGAGACGAGCCGAAGAAGATATAGAGGAAATATTGCCCTCCTTTAACGAGTCTGGACATCAAAGTGACCACTGGTTGAGGGGCAGCTTCGAAATTCGTGATGTCACGTCTCCAATTCAAGTAAGACACCCCTCACTAGCGCCCGTTCATTCTTTCAAACTCTTCGATATTTGATGAGTGGATTACTTAATATACCAATATGTGATATTTGACGATTTATTTTCAAGCGATGAAATGCTTTATAATCTTGATTTTTGTCTTTAGATAACACGAGGAAAACTGATTTATATATATATAAATATATATATACCTTATAGTTGATATACTGTAAGAATGAAGGTCGCAAGCAACGAAAAATAAAAATATCGTGAAAAACATCAAATGAAAAATTCCGAGAAATGTTATAAATTTTCGCTTTAAACGCTGCATCAAAACGCAGACTTCACATTTTTGTGAAAATTATCACAAAGTAGATATCTAGCTCTCCTTTGTTAAGTCCTCAACGGTTATCAATGTTTGCTGTTTTTTAGATTGTGGTAATAGGTATCCGGGGTAAGAGCGCTCTTGGAGACATCGCCTTTGATGACGCGAGAATGTACAATTGTTCAGATGATGGTGAGTGATGATTGAGGTCTAATTCTAAATCAATAAATTAGTTTATAGAATTTTCAAAACAGAAAAAAGTTATTTATAACTCATAATGGCCGGACGTGTAGGTAACATGTAAGGGACGTAACTGTGGTGTAAATATGGAAAATACAAATTACGATAGAAAAGAAAAAAAATAATAATAACATATTGAACCGTAGGAATTAAAACTATGTTATCATTTCTATATTTTGTTGTTATCATTGCTATGAATTAAATAATTTTGTTTACAATTAAAAATGTTCAAGTGAAAAAAATGGAAATGATGAAAAAATATTGCACGAAGGTAACAGAAAACATCTCTCATATCAAACAGACGAGTGTGTGTCTCACTTTGATATGATGTTCTTAAAACTGTGATAATGATTTTCATTTCTGTAATCGATAGTCACCATGATCATTACTAGTCATAATTATACCAATTCATTTCCTTTTTATAATTTCAAGTCGATGACGTCACAACTGAAAGTGAACAACTTACAACCATGCAACCGACGACAGAATTTAGAGATTTATCGACAAAAACATCCGGTGAATTTACAACTGATAGTCTATTGAACGTCTCCATGATGAATGGTATTTCTTCTGAAGAAATTACTACTCATGCTTCCGGTTCCTTCACCGTTAACTTGTCTACCGCCCCGCCTCAAGTCGTTGAAGTTACTACGGAATCCGTACCAACAGAGGAAACAACGATGGAAATTGCGACAATCGTTGTTACGACAGCGACAGAAACAACTCTACCTTCAAAAACTCCAACAACGACCACGACGAGGAAACCTACTATGAAACCAACCACGAAACGTCCAACAACTATAAAACCAACCACGAAACCTCCAACAACTATGAAACCAACCACGAAACCTCCAACAACTATGAAACCAACCACGAAACGTCCAACAACTCCAAAATCAACCATAAAACCCTCCACAACTCCAAAACCAACCACGAAACCTCGAACAACTCCAAAACCAACCACGAAACCTCCAACAACTATAAAACCAACCACGAAACGTCCGACAACTATTGAACCAACCACGAAACGTCCTACAACTATGAAACCAACCACGAAACGTCCAACAACAGAACCAACCTCGAAACCTACAACTACAAAACGCTGGACAGTGACAACAAAGAAAGAAACTTTAAAACCAACTTCAATGCAAACAACAAGTACAACACTGATGTCAACAACAACAAAAACAGCACTAAAGACATCATCGGAAGCACCAAAAGCTGAAGTCACAAAGCAAGCTTCTATTTCAACCACTACAAATACGGCCCAGAAAAGTACGACGACAGTTTCTGACAATTCCATACCGGAAGTCACAAGAACACCACAAAATAATAATGAAACAGACATTCCAAACGTGATTCAGGTTGGTAAAAGAACCAGTCAATCAAAAGGCCCGGTAAAGCCTTTGATGATTGGTGTTGGAGTGGGCGTGGCTATTGGGTTAGCGATCGTTTTGGTAATAGTGTTTCTATATATGAAGAAACAGCGAAAGAAACATGACGATATGGAAGACGAGATGGCACCAATCGCCAGAAATGCTTACAGTGAATGGTAACGAATGGCAAAGGTTTAGTGAACATTTAAGACATTGAAAGATAGACCTTGTTTGGCTTGCTTAAGGAATATTATCAGCACTTCCTGATTCTTGTCAATATTTCTCGCATACCACTCAGCCTAAGCAATATCACATCAAAACGAAAATCTACATCTCAGCTGTAATAGAAATAATCCTGGAATTTTTAATCCAAACACAGATGCATGTATTCTCATCTAATTTCGTAATATTGTTTGAAATCTTTAAATATGTTGTCGCCGGTTTTGGGTTTTATGTATATATGACATGTCAGACTTCAAAATAGACAAAAACTTCAAACAAATGTCTGTGCAAACTATGACATCACAGGAAATCTTTAAAGGTCGACAAATTGATGTTCTTTTTCAACGCAGCTTTGCTATCACTGATAAAAGTTTATATAAATTTAACTTTAATTGTAAATTACCTGTTAATTCACTTACTTCAATAATCAATACACACTGCTTACGCTCAATATCAACACCATTCACCCTGTATCTGAAAATCAAGGTACTATAAAGAGTTGTCTTTTGTCGATGGCTAATTTTTTCAATGTATTAAACAAAAACTCGCATGTATTTTTGCTATTACCCTTTCCCCCCAATACTTTTTTATCTCAGTTTTATTCCTTTTTTGAAAATAGCGAAAAAATAGAACTCAACCAAAATTAAGAATTTTGCACTATCTCGCAGTTAAGAGGCAAGCATTCGTTTCCCGCGAGAAGAAAACTTTACATGGAGATTATTCCTGTCACAAATATTTTATGTCAGTAGAACATTTGACTTTTCAACTTCCGGTGTTTGTTTAGATCCCTGACCTGTCTTTCTCAAAAAGTTAATAAAACGATGTCCTGTTCTGTCTCGGCTGTGTCCTAAGACGAACCACTTCCATAATTGCATTGAATAGCAAGCGGCATGCCTTCCGCATGCTGTTCAGTGAAGTAGCTACCAGACAGCAAAGATAAACTCCAATGTCCATGGGACGATAAACTCATTCCGAATATTGCCATGAATGCTTCATCGAAAAACAATCATAGGATAAGATATTAACGTTGATCTGAAGCTATATTTTGGTCAAATTTGCAGTCGGCGTTTTCGATAAGCATTCGTCATTTAAAGAAACGAAAGATAAAAAGTTTATGCAATCTTTTTAATCAGAAAACTTTCTGGAGATATGGAGCCTTGACCTGAAGATGTTACACATTTTTTCCACATACAGTATGCTTTCATTTCTGCAAGTCTCTATGTTGGCTATATCATTGAGACTGACTAAACGTCAGTGGTTGCCAAGGTAACTAATTCTCAATTTTCAGTGTACTGTGAAATTGGTTTGCTGCTGGAATTCTGCAAGAACAGCTGGGCACTTACGTTTGTGTTCTCGTTTTAGAGAAACTTTTTTTTATCAGACAGCTGTAAATTTTGTCTTTTTTATTTTCTAATTTCTTAAACAACCTCTTAAAACTCACTTATGTGCAAAGGTTCAATTATTTTAAGATTTAAGCTTTTCAGCTAAAATGTTTTTTTTTCTAAAAAAAGGCTTGAAATGTGTGGATTGCAAAATACACTTGATTATGAAAGTGTGACATATTGTTAATGCTGTATATTCAAATTACTTTATAAAAAAACAACCTTATGATCTTTTTTATACTTAATCAATTAATGCTTATGTATATATTTGATATAATGTAAATAGTTTTGGTACTAAAATAGCAGGGGATGATGAAATCACATGATGTATTTTATACCATAATGGACATACATATGTAAATATATATTCATTCTTTTAATGAAACAATACTTAACCATTGCATATTGCAGTAGAATGTGTTAGAGTCATTGGTCAGTATTGGATTTCAGATAATTATGTGTTTTGTCTGATTTTATCATTTTTGTGTGAGACATTTATTGACCGTCATCAAATGTGTGTCCATTTCCCATTTCAATAATAAAAAATGTGATGAGTGTAATAGATTTAAATAATTGATAGACACCAAGGCTTGATTTAAAAAAAAAAAAAAAGTCAAGAGCTATTCCACAAATTCATGACAACTTTAAAAATCTTATATTGGTTTGAATTATCGAGATTTTGGCTCTATTTTAACGTTACATCGTTATTAACGTGTAGTGTATCTGTGACATTCATAGTTATGACGTAGTCATTCAAACTGCCAATCACAGCTCCCCTAGGTGTTATAGAGCACGTGCATTGGTACAACATGGATGCTATATATTTTTTTGATCATAGGGCTCATAATTGTGTCCAAGACATAATTTCATCACTATTATATCTCAGATTAAAACCAGTTGAATAATATTGTTGATCAAATATTTACATATTTACCGTAAAGTTTGGTGATCAAGATTTCCGTGGGTTTATCAAAAGATTGAAGCAACATGGAAATACTGTTAGCTTAAATAATGAATCTACCTTTGCTTTTTTCTCTCTTAATAAATTTCATTTGAAAAGGATTTATTTTTGATAGTAGAAATCATATCAAATTCCGAATACACGCCAGCAATAACTGCTTATTTTCAAAGACGGTGTAGAAAGTTCTGAAAGACTACTTTTTTGAAAACAACAAGAGTCAGACAAAGGGCAGTAACTCAGGTAGATCATAGTGTTTTTCCCGAACAGCAGTTTATAATGGTTTGGTATAAAATTGTTAAATAACCCTGCAAACAAGAGTTATCTCCCTATATATATACAACACGATGCCAGCATAGTTGTGGACAGTAGATCTGTATTCTCATTCTGATCCCAAGAGTTACTTCCCGTCGTTTTATTTAGTCAGTACAGCTGCATGTATAAGGTTGACAGCCAATAGAGGTACTGAACGTGCATTCCAAGATGTCGAATTTCAGTTATTTTGGAGCTTTGATTGAAATAAAAATTTACGTGTTTATTCACTTCAGATGAAAAGAACAACCTAATTCCATAAGTACGAAATCAAAGTGACCACTATCTATATCATACATATATTGTATATATTTCTAGTAAATAGATTTTCTCAACAATGTGGTATCATGTTTTTATACATAATAAATAATTCAATTGTAAACCGGAATGTCTTTCCCATATTTTTCTTTGTCGTGATTTGTCTAAAACACTGGAAGGTAACACGACAGGGGTTATTATAAGTTGTCATAACTCGTGCCCAATCCTCATGAGGTAATAAGATATGTTGAAACTAAAAAAAGTATATTTACATTTCGCGTTTAAAATTAAGCATCCGTTGTACCCCGATAGTAAATTCAAGCGACTAACACAACTATTTTCGTTCAACATTTATCAGATAACACTTTTAGTAATGTTGTTCATAACATATTCATTGTTGTGTATTTAAAGTAAGTGAGGTTTTAAATGAATTTATGGAAGGCAGTGACCGTACAGAGAAATCTAACAAATTCCAGCTACGAAGTGTAGAAGGTATAAAAGAGAGGTTTGTAAGAGAAAGCCCAAATAGAGGAACTCTATAATCATTGTTATTTCTAAGATTGTATCGGTTATTATCTGCAACAATAGGTGGCAAGAGATCGTTTAAATAATCTGGAGTTAGCTTGTTATGCATTTTAAATAAAAGTTGAAGTTTTCTTCGTTGTCGACGATTCGAAAGTGTATCTAAACCAGTTTCAAAATGTAAATTTTCTATACGTGCATCAGAAGGAAGGCCAGTTATAATACGAGCAGCTTCTCTTTAGGCTTTCTCTAATTTATCTGATTCAGTATTAGTGCAACCGTCCCGCAATTCACACGCATACTCTAAAATTGGTAAAATAAAAGCTTTGTAAATTTTTAAGAGACTCTTTCTATTTAACAAGTATTTCAACCTTCTTAAGACATTGATTTTCTTCATAACAGACATATATCTAGCATTGATATGATTCCCCCATTTTGCGTTGGAATTAAGATTTACCCCCAAATGCCTATGATGATCAGTAAAATTCAAATCTTTCCCATCTAAATCCAGGTCTAAATCATCATCTATGTCAATCGAATTAGAAATAAATATTACCTCAGTTTTGTCTGGATTGAAAGTAACCAACCAAGTTTTAGCCCAAAAGTTTAAAGAATGAAGATCCCTCTTTAAGACAGTTTGGATTTCAAGACATGATGAGGAAGACTTTAATAAAGAAGTATCGTCAGCAAAAATACGAGCAGATGATTGAAGGACATCACCAATATCATTTATGTTTATAAGAAACAAAAGTGGTCCAAGAATGGAACCTTGAGGAACCCCTGCTGAGTTTGAACCTAATTGAGAATAACCACTATTTAGGAAAACTTTCTGCTGCCTATTAAATACATAGTTTTCTAGCCACGTAAATAGCTCACCACAAAGCCCTTGCGATTTTAATTTTACCTAACTAAAGTATATGATTTAGAACAATCGAAACTCACTAAGGTAAAATGTCAATGTTGTGAGTTTCAATTGGTTAAAGTATTTCATTCAAATATTTTTAACATACTAGATATATCATCGTTTATAGGTGCGTACATACAACTTCTATGAAAAACAATATCTATTAAACAGAGTATTGAATGATGAATGTCATCGACGGAAGTTGATGTTCACTCTAGGCGGGAAACATCGTCATTGGTTTTGATAAGAATTTTCGCGTCGTTACCATGTACTTTTGCGAAGATACGCCCATCTGTGGTACAGAACGAACTGATTTTGCCGGTTTTACGGAGGATGTTCAGCCGGTTCACAAGACTTTGTCCTTTGCTTGTAAGACTTTCGGTTATGAAAATGCTGTCTTTATTACCTTTCAAATTCTTTTTGTTTGAGCAGACTCGTTGCCGGCAATGATAATGGACGAAACGGGCCATAATAGTACATTTACCATTCCTAGATTTCCCGATGATGTGAGTACGGGACAGATCATCGGGAGGACTTTGGCATGAACGCCACTGTATGTCCAATACAGCTTTGGTCGTGCCAAACCCTTTCGCTCCTTCGGAGTCCTCGGGGAGGGTATCGCAAATATTGTTCTTGCTCTTCAATTGCATCTTTGGAGACCGAGTCTGATACTCGGAGATCTGTAATACGTTTTTCGAGCTCGAAAATTTTGTGCTCGAATGGTTTGACTATGTGTTAAACTTTGTTGTTGACCATACTACTAAAACGTACATCATCTTTTAACCTGTTGTCAATAACTAGTTGTATCTGTGGTACCATCTGCGCCATTATAGTAGTCTGTAGTGCATTTGATACAAGGGCTGCCACTGGTTGGACTATTGCGCTTATCATTTGGTTCATGAAAGTTTGGTTGGACAGTATATTGGAAAGATCCACGGTAACCCCTGAACCTATACTGGTTTTGAGTCCCGGCATAGTTGGTAGTTGGAGGATCGAGTAAGCAACAGAAGGACCGGTTAGGACTTTTTTGGGGGCATGCAGGGAATCAGTTACACTAGACGATTCAGGACTGCAGAAAGTTTTACGTTTGTCAGAAACATTCACAATAGGTGATGCATACTGCTTATCCTGTTCTTTAGAGAAGGGACACGAGTTTGTTGTCAATGATCCTCCTGGCTGACCACTATTACTTGGTATTACCTGTTGTACCTGTTGTACGTGTACCTGGTGACCACTGTCCGTGGAATGTAGAGTAGCCATTGTACGTGAAAGGTGAAGACACAAACACAAATAACACTCCAAAAAGTCAATGTAGGATGGAAACACACAGATAGTTCGTATCAATGGTACATACACTAATGTATGGCAAAGTTTGGTTATCGATCTCAACACAGAAATTGATTAAAAGGTATACAGTTCTCACAGCTCACATTACACAACCTGTCCTTAGCTCATCACGTGACCATCCACCTACAAATTACTCTGTTACTATAAAAAAGCGATCAAATGTTGAACTGACTTAAAACTTTTAGAAAATAAACATACTTAACAACTAGCCGAAATAACTTAACAAACGAGCAAGTGACAAATGTATATACGTTTCTATTGTATCTATACGGTAAAATGTACATGCATTGTATGTTCCTGCGTGGCCCCCTCCCTACCCAACACAAACACCATCTCACTTACACGGCAAACGGTTCACGAATCAATCATTTAGATGAATGACCTTGACGTAGTTAAAGCTGGCGTTGACTATTATTGATTTCTCCTATAACTGGTAAGAACTACAACATAATGCACATCATTTATATATGTCGACTTCATACAATACAGAAAAATCAAACACATGACGGAAAATATTACTTGCAATAGAAACAAAGCTCAATGAATTTAAAAATAGACAATAAACCTTTGTATCTCATTTTGTAGACAATACATGCACTCCACGTTAATTAGGAAAATTACATACCGTAAAAAGCACGGTTGTTGCAAATCGCCAGCCTGGTAATATCTTTAATGAATCGGCCCTTGTTCCGGAATAGATACCAGTTTACGTGTATTCAATTAGTGTCCACTATCATTACCTGAAATTGACATGTCGACAGGAAATATTTGATACGATCGATCTTCGTCTCTATTGTCCTACTATTCTTCGTTACTTTGATTTGATAACGGTTTAAGTGACGGTTTTAATGTAAACGTTTGAGGTTTGTTATGTGAGAAGTATTCCAATATTGTTTTTTTTAACATTTGGATTGTAGAGTCGAATTCTAAGGCGGAAGAGAAAGAATAACAATGAATATTTCGAATCGACTAGCCTTTCCGAACGGAACAATGCATGAAATCCGATATTTCCTACTGTCGGTCATAATTAAAGGGATGCTGTTATTTTTTTTTATTTTTTTAATATTGATTTTTTTTTTTGTTTTTACTTTTTTTGTTTTTGTTTTGTTTTGTTTTTGTTTTTCAGTCTAACGGGTCACTTTCGGTTTGCTGATACCAGCCTTTAAGTGTATCCATATCAAGGAGATCTTTTGCAACTGTTTATATATCGGAGTAACGGTTCCACATTTTCCAACGGGACACTGATGACAACTGCAGCGTAATTCAGGTTGCCTACTCAAACATGTCGAGAAAAGCCGGAGTATGGTGCCACAGAAATGATACTGTCAGCACCTTCATATAATGATTTAAACTGCATCATACAGCTGTTTCATTCTTCTAGTACTAGTCAGTGATGCTAAGGGCCTAAATTTGTAAACTCCAGTTCCGTTTAATCTAAAATAAGACAAGGATCTGGATCACAGTTCCGTTTTTCTAGGTTCATTCCAGATCCGTTTTTCTTAAAAGGGACCAGAAAATTGAAACCAATTCCAAGCTCGAAAAGCGTACAGTATATAATCAGGTGTTACACGTATAAATTTAGATAGTTGTATTTCATGTTGGTAGGGGGTAATTCCACCAAATTTCATCACTTCAAATTTACCATGATTGTGCAGAAAATCCAGATATACATTGTAAATGTGAAGAGTGATCACTTCTCGTTTAAATGTGTTACGAAGATAATTATCCGATCAGATTTTCAGATTTTGATTAACAACCATAGAGTAATCCAGATCGCATTCACTATTTCTATTTCCGGAATAAGATAACATTAATAAAAATCCATTTATCTTTATTATGATAGTGTTATACCAATTGTAATTGTCAATCCAAGAATGTTGAATTCAATATATTTTCGCCCTGTATTGTTTAAGCTTTTCATCATTAATTCAAATGCGGTAAATTAATGTTATGTATTCACAATAGAATTAATTAACACAACCAAATTAGTTTTCCATGATTAATATTCATAAGATCATTCATTGAGTTTTATATCCAGTAGACCTTTGAAAGCAAAAATTCGATTTCATCTCTACTAAACTCTCCTAGGTAGGTTACAGCGAGCCGTGGTATTTTGCTCATTGTTCATTTCTAATTGTAATGGAAAAGAACGGCGCCCAACACGCACGCGATATAATTTATTAATGTCGTTCTTCTTGATATTGTGACAAAACCGATCAATTTTGCTTTAGTCGATAAAAAAGACATTACAAGCAAAGACTGCTTAGGTTTGTGATGGAATTTGTTAGAAGTTAATTCCTAAAGGGAGAAAAAAAGACAAAACAAAACAGAAAAAAATAATGTTTTTCGAG